AGCATATAGTGAATTTCTGATATGTTTAGAAGATTTTTACTTCCCAATTATCTGTTGTATCCTTAAAACGAAAGTAAAAGTGATTTCGAAAAACTATAAAGAGCACAACCAACGATAACCAGCAGATCTAGTCTATTCATTCAATACTTACTCGAACGTTCCATATCCATTAGCAATTTCATAACATTCCTTGGGACCTTTCCAGAACAACAGTTCCGGAACCAACTTGGATCCAATTTTTCGATAATCAGCATAAAATCGTCGTAAAAGATGATAACCGAATTGATATATTTCAAAATATTGACTTTTTTTGATCTCATTTATTGACTGATTCTTGAAACGCTCAGCAAGTCGTTTGAAGATTACAAAAAGGGAAAGCTGCAATTAAGAATTATTATCCAATACTTGGAACATCTGTAAGAACTTTAACGAAATCAAGATTTGATAAAAATTGGTTCACGTTTCAAATTAACTAAATAAGAACGAAAAGTAACCTGATATAAACGTGGAGCCATTTTCAAATCAAACGCTACTCGATGTAGAAGCTTCAAGACTGCCTTATTTACTTCGGCTGTATTAGATTCGAAATCAGCTAGGAGGAAAATATACCTGTAAGTAATTTCAAAATAATCCAAACAAATAAGTCGAACAATAAGTCATGAGAGCCTGTTCAGAGAAAATTTTATACAAAAACATGGAAGAATTATAATTTTATCTCCATTAGCAAATGCATGAATTACCATTTTAAAACATCCACTCGTGCGAATTTTGCAACATAACTATCGAAATGAAAATCGATTTCTTTTTCGATCATACTTATTCCAACATCGGACTCACCACTTCTTTCCTCATACTCTTCATCGAAGCCATCAAGTTCATCACTGAATAAGGTATCGTTTCTTGTGTCATCATCTAGCTCTGGTCCATATATTTCTAATCGACATTTCTCCCAATTTTCTTCAACCTGCTTGTTTTTCAGACTTTACTTTTTCAGCTTAAATTTAATTTTCCGACTCTTATTATATTTAGAATTGAAAAAATAAAGTCAAGTATTTTGGAAATTTTTAAAAATGAATCCAAATACCTCATTGTTATCTCCCTTATCTGACTCTCTTCTTGTCTTCAGTTTGGATTGCAAATCTATTTAATCTTATGAGTATAGGTGACCAAAATAATCAAAAACTACTGAAAATTCAGTCCTTAATTTTCGTATTTCGGTATCACTAATATTGAAATGTACTCCAAGCACAGCCATCTTATCCTTTTTCTTGTTAAACGGCTTGTCTTCCCTCCATCATCCCTCTCTCTTTCTCTTCCCTCAACATTATACACTTCCAAGGTTAAAAGTAAAAGCAGTTTTCAGTCATCGAAAGAATCTCTGATACTCAAAAATGAATGCCCAAGAACGACAAAAATTTTATAGCCTTCTTAAATAATACCTAACAATGACAAATCTTTCTGTATCTGCCTTAACTTACTAAAACTGATGCTAATAAAAAGCAATTAACACAAAATGAAGAGGAGAATTAAAAAGGATGAGGAAGAAGAAAATGAAAATGACTTCTTTAAGATCCACAAAGTATACAGCACGTAATTCGAGGAACTCATCTTCGGGTGCTACATCGTTTTTTCCAAATACACCATCTGCAGGCCATAAATCACGCGCTGCTCGATATATACCGACAGCATCGGCTATACGCCGTTGACGAAGTGCATGTTGCACCATAAGCATTGCAAACTGTCTGTAAATACTTATCTGTAAATGAAAGCTTTTTTTGAAATTTGAATGAAATCTTGGCTGCAATCAACTGGTCGAATGTGGAAAGATGCGCAAGCAGTAAGTGCAAGAAAAATTGAGATAGTATGGAAAGTAAACAAATAAGTTGGCAAGTACTGATGAATTCGATCTTCAACATTCAGAAGCACATCGATGGCACTAATATCGACGGTTGGTTCAATATAACCAAATATAACATCCGACAACTCTTCACAAATATCATCCCATAAATTCCAATCTGGTTCTTTTGATTCTTCTGCATTACTTTCTGGAAGAAATCCAGTAGTTTGTACGTAAGAAAAGCAAGGAACAGGGAAGATATATATGAATCTTCTAAAATGTTAACGAGAAGCACCTACCTAGCTTTTCTTTCGTTTTTGACTTTCGTCGCCGCATTTTTTGACGTTTAACTACAGTTGATAGCATTCCTTTCTTGGAAAACTTCTCAATCAAATTAATGTATGCATGGTTTGCAAGCACAATATTTTTCAAGAAAGTTTTCGAGAATACACCGGGCTGCAAGATATAATCTTTCAAAGGTTGTAATCCGGTCAGGGAATGGTTTGACCAGTACAATTGTGGTTTGACCAGTACAATTGTAGAATGATTGCCTCTAACATTCAAGCGTAAAAGTGACCCATATAGAAGAGTTCAATCTAAAACAGTGATCTGAAATCCAAAGTAGTTCAAGGTAAGGAATAACAGCAAATGTCCACCACGCAGATGTCTTGAAACATTGTAAGTAGCAACATAATACATTTACATAATAATTCTTTGAAGCTCTAGAACTTTGGATTAAAAATAGAAATTTGCTTTTATAAGAGAAAATACTTCGCACTTGAATTTAACTAACCATAAATCTACGGATAACACAACTCGACAAATCCCTATACTCTTCCACTCTCAATATATGCGAACAAGCTGATCCTACTCCTCGTTTCCATTCCTCATTTCCAGATTTCTGGATTGATATTAACCTGCAGTGGTAAAAGAGCTACTCACTGGATTAAAAGGATTGACCTAATTGATAAAAAAGAGAAAAATTCTCGAAGAAAATTAAAAGCAAATAAAATTAAGGAGAAAAACTTACGTAAGCAACAGCTCCTTGTAAGCAGCTAAGGCGTATTGTGCGCGTAAACCGTGAACACGACCCTCTTTCCGTTCTATTCTTACCTTTTCCAGATAATTGTCCAGTTGAGTTTGAACATGATGAAACGCTTCTACACTGAGTGAAGCTTTTATCTGAACTGATCACACAGTATCTAATTAAGGTCATGAATTCAAAGTATGATCTACATATCCTATTCTGATTCCTAATTCTTTTTCCACCAGTTTCATAGCTTACCGAATAGATCCTAATATGCTTGGATTTCCGCATGAATTTCCGCATTTGCATGTGAAAATTCAATGGAATGTAGAATGAGAATTAGCACCTTATACCTGCGTAATTCATCCTCAAAAAACAGTTTATATTCGCAATTGTTACATACTTACATATTCAGGCGATAATTCAGCCAAACGACAGAATTCCAACGAGAATTGCATCAAAATGAAATAATGTATATCAGCTTTATCTTGTCCCAAAGTTCGTTTTCCAGAAAAGGCCTAGAACGACTTCCATCAAATAAGCATTTTTTGTTTCCACCTATACTTCTCTAACAGCTGCCAAATTATAACATATTAATCGAATTATAAAGCTTTTATTAAAATACTGAAAAAAATTGTGATCCAAGATATACACATTATTTATATGAAGAAATTCGAATCTTGCGTTGTCTTTTACATATAGATCAACTTACGTTATCTTTGCATCCACATATCAAGCGGCAGTACGACTTTTGTAGCATTTCTAGGCAAAAGGATCGCAAAACTACACGCACGTTGAGGACTGAAATATGTTTACTAGTTTCAATGTCAAATGGTCGTCGGCTTTTCGGAGCTCGATGCTTTATCTTCCGCTTATTTAAATGATCAATTTCATTGTAGTTCTTTATCACTCTGAAATATTCCACAATACACTAATTTTCTTTAAGTCTTCAGCTAAATTTTAATCCTGTTCAAAGTGAGGATTAAAATTAAAGAATGGAAAGAAGAAAATTAAAGCGAATAACATCAGTCCAAACGTTATCGCTTTTTCAATCTTTAGATGATTAATATGCATACGTTAGCGCTGTAATTTCCAAAGAATGCATTAAACACAGCTTTCCTTGTCTTTATTGCAAAAAACTGATCTTATCTAATTAATAGACATTACTGATATAGAATTAAATTAAAGGAAGTTACGGGTAGTTTTAGTGTTAAAACAAATGCAAGAATAACTCTAATACGCAAAGTTTCATAGGAAAATAACTCGAAATTCTATATAACTTCCTCGTCCGTCGCTTTTCTTCAGTTGATTTTGATAAAAGTCAAAAACAGAACTTGTTGACAACCATATCGTTATCCTTATTGATGGCTTTCAATCCTTTCAAAATGTAAGATCCAGCGAAAGCGGTATGCCTGCTTGACATATATCGGCGCTTATTTAGTTGTTTCTCAGTTTCCTGTTCCACAACTTCCCGCATTTCAATCTCTTGCCTCTTTCTTTCTTCTGCAGTGCGAATATTTCCAGCTTCCACGACATCCTTTGCCTCCTAAACTCCCAACTGTTATTATCTGAAAAAAAAAAAAAAAAAGAAGGAACTTAATCGGTTAAAAAAGAAAATCGTCCAGCAAAATTTACGTGTTGTTTCAACAACATCGCGAAAATTTCCAGAATCCACAAGTGGAAATCACGTTCTGCTGAATTTTCGGATATTTCAACAAGCAGCTTTCCAAAACCACTTTCCAGAAAAGCCAAAACTAATTGATCATGACTGTTCATATCTTGTGGATGGCGCTGTAACGATATGTTATTAGCAATCCGGACCATTCCGTAAAAAAATCTTGAAAAAAAAAAAATTAATCCAAATCAGGTACAGAATGGACACTGTATAAGTACTTCCTGAAATAAAGTTTCTTTATCCTACCTCCTTATCTAAGTCGGTATCACCAATAGCAAGAACATAACGAGATAAAGCAAAGATCCTTTCGATCAAAAGTTTTGTTTCCTCATCTCTATCCAACCAGTCCTGAAAAGAAATGTCTGAAAAAAATGAAGTTTTGGAGTCTTTATTTCAACTTTTAAATATAACACATGAATAGAGGTCGAGAAACGAACATGCACTACTTTTTATTCAAATCAAGTTCCCGATTCCGAAATTCGGGAAAGAACAAGATCATTGTATTAAGCTGAACTGGTTCAAAACAAACTGGCAAGTTAAATGATTACTTGTTTCGTATATATACTCAAGAAAGTCTTCATTTTCGATCTCAAAGTGTCTCTGTAACCCTAATTCCTCTTCTCAGAAGTTATGATCTTGAAACATTCCAGCCCATTTAGTGATAACCGTTGAGCTCATATCTACAAGCAAAATTTTTATACATACTTGAGCAAAATAGATCGCAGCTTTTCTTTCAAAGGCTTTGAACAACTGAACATCACCGAAGGCTTCTTTGGAGTTCCTGAGATTTTTTTCGATCTGAAGTGGCATTTCAATGTCAACAACAAACAAAAAAGGAATGGTGCACAGAGAATAGTTAACTTCAAAATCAGTTGGGAATTATACTGAGTTAAAAACAAAAAATAGTTTTACTTCTTGATGGACTAGCCAAGTTTCTTTATCTTCTGGTTGTCGTCCACCAAACATTAATGCAACCGGTTGGCATAAATTTATTGTAAGTCTGAAAGTTATGACATTCCTAACAATTCCAACACATCTGTATGTACAGCTTGAGCAAGTTTGATAACCAGTAAAATATTCTTGGACCGACTGAAGCATGTACAATATGACTGCTAGTCCTATCAGACTTCAACATTATCAGACCGATAGCTTTACTTTATTATAAAAAAGATCGAAGACGAATTTGGGCAGAAAAAAACGGCTACAATTTTTTGAGAAAAATATTAGTCTGAGACAAAATAATAAACATTAATGTTTTCTATACGGTAGAAGCCGCTAATTTAATTGAACACTAAACCAGTTAAATCAGATACATTAGTTATAAGAACGAACGTTTAGTAGTGTATAAACATCGAATTCAACTTGACAATTAAGTATTCTAAAGAAAAGTCTTAGATATACCAACTTTTAGTAGTGTACTTATATAAAGAAAAACACCCCTTTTGAATTTGAGTTCATTAATTATTGAATTTAATTGATGTTAACGTTTTTATGTCTAAAAAAGGATGATAATAAATACCTTAATGCAATATCGAATAATTTATCAGATGTGTTTGGTGATTTCATGATCGGAATTAGATCATATCGGACAATATTCCTCTCACCGCAAACACGTCGTGCTACTGCCATAGCCGTATCATTCCGTAGGAATCGTATCAAATCACGTATACTTTCTAATTAAATTCAAAATGATTTGGAATAAATTTTGTTTTTTTTAAAAACTTTCATCTTTAAAGCTTTCACTTTAAAATCTTATATTCTGATTGCAAAAAATGGCTGTCTTATTTGATGAAATCTAATGAGAAAAAAATTAGCAGAATGATAAGAAATCGGAAGAAAAAAGAATTCATTTATCCAAAACGTACCAAAGCAATCCGGTTCCGGATAGTAAACACCATCTTCCAGAAAACCTAATGCATTGATTGTTGCTTGAATTAACCGTTCCATTGAGAAAAAAGTTTGAACATTTATCAAAACTTCTAAAATGCATAAGTTATTATGGTCAAGATTAAACAGGCAAAGTATAACTTCATTACTGATATCTTATCAGGCAATCATCAATACTGCCAATAATCGAAAACATCGACATTTTCAATTAATTTCAATGATGACAAACAGATAATTTAAATTATTCAAATTTCAAAATTTGACTATTCCGCCACAATTCATAAGAGAGACAATTGCGACAGTGTAAGAGTGACAGAAAGAGATACCCACAATGAATGAACACTGTGAAACGATCGATGTAGCAATATTTGGTAATTAAAATTCTCAAAATTTCAACAAATTCTTTTTTTTTCAAATGACAAATTTTCAATAAGTCTTTCTCAAATGTCAAAACATTGACAAATTTTTTTTTTAATTTACATAATTCCTAGTGGACTGTCAAACGTATTGGACTGTCAAACATGAATGATTGGAATGTCATTTGCAAGATTTTTTTGTTGTTTCTTAGGTTTATTTTGATTATAAGATTAATTGGTTATAAGATTTATTTTGATTATAAGATTAATTGGTTATAAGATTTATTTTGATTATAAGATTTATTTCGACTATAAAATTTATTTTGATTATAAGATTTATTTTGATCATAAATGTTGAAATTTTAATTGGAACTTCTGAAATTTCTATTCTAATTGTCAATATTATAATTTTTAGTTATTGCTATTTTAATTCCAGCTAAAAAATTTCTGGTGTGATGTCAATATTAGTGAAATTTTCAGTTTTTACTCGTATTTGTAAAACTTGAATTCCGTTTGTTAAATTTAAAGTTTAAATTGTTGAATATAATTTCAATTCAGTTATCAGTTTTTTTTTTATTATTCTTACAGTACTTTCAATTTATGCTACTTATGGCGGGTAATATCGCAAATAGCTCAAATGATCAATAACTGTAATTGTTTACAGAAATTAAAATGAAACAATCTCAATTTGTAATTGAGAGAATAACAATGA